ATTACTATGGTAATAAAGGCAGGGTGCGTCTTGGTCTCCCACAGCAGACATTCTATTAGTTGTATGCCTAAGACATAAAAGTAACTCTAAAACACCAACGCAGCCAACTAGTATAGACAACAAAAGACCCATTTTAAGAATTTTATGAAGCAGTAATTTATATCCAAAAATTTATCGAGTTATGATAGTACGCATTCAATACACACACAAATTAATCAGTTATAAAGATTTGAAATTTTTTATTGAGCAGCATCAAAGTTATTTCATTTTGACTTCGATAATTTATCAAAATAAATTCTATTTTCCTATAAATTACATTAAAAAATACTTTGAGACTTTATGTAAATAAATTTATTTTCATAGACTTTTAATTTAAAATGAACATTATAGTAGAAAACACTTTAATTATTTAAGACTTTAGAATATTCTATATTTAAAAAAAAATTCCACATTTCACTTTTTTTCATTGCACTTTATTGAAGTTACGTAGCAACAGTATTATTTTGCACGAACGAACTGTAAATGAGCGAGAATATTCGCTAGCCTAAATGTCTTTCAACTCACCGCGAACACACGGTTAAAGGCTAAAGTTAGAATAAATGTCCCTGGATGCAAGTCGTGTCCTTACTGATGCTCGATAGTTGTAAACATAGTAATTAACTTTTTAAACTTAGAAACAGATACAGAAATCAAACTAAAAAGTTATCTTTCTTTTATTCACTTTTTATATTGTGTATCATGTTTTTTAAAATATTGATTTAAAATTGAATTACAAGTTAGAAATATTAAACTCTTATATTTAATCAAGTCTGAGAAAAGTAATCGACTATGTTGAGTTACAAAAAATGTATTTTTAGCACATTCTAAAACACAGTGAAAAGAAAAAGCGACATGACAAATTTTTCTAATTAGGCTTAAATGAAAACTTAAATTTTGAATTTTTAAGTTTAGAACTGAAAATTTTAGTAGAATCAAACGTCATATATGTGACAATACTTTCTTGATGGGTTTTGAAAAAATAATCCTAAAAATTAATACTTTACTATTAACTTTTTTCAAAGTTAAAATGTTTAAAATTTCTCTAAAACTACTAAAAACTGTTATCTACTGTTTTAGAAAAAACATAATAACTCAAAATATATTCGCAATTAAATGGAGAGTGAAAATTAAGTCACTCTTTTACAAACATTTTTAATTCTCTTCAAAAAAATTTAAATAAAATTTTTTAATTAATTAATATTTTATAAATATGACAAATATAAAAAAATTTCATCTGCTTTGGTAAAAGTTTTATGTAACAAAATTATTGCTGTAATATAGTAAATAAACGATACACTGATAAATCAGTCTATTGAACATAAGAGAAATCCGTTTAACATAAGCTCATTTTTCTCCCAATATTTTTCTAAAAGAATTTTCTTTTAAAATAAAAAGAAGGCCTTTTGAAATATTTCCTTTTTTTATGTTTAGAGGATTTTAATTTACTATTAAAAGTACAGATTTTAATATACTAAGAAGATAAATAGAATATTACCGTTTTATTAAATTTTCGAAATATAACATAATTTGAAACCCTGAATTAAATATTATCAGCAAAGAATGTTTAACTCTGAGTATAAAAAAATTACAATTCTTCAAATAATCAATTAAAAAATTTTTTTTTGGAAAAATCATAATTTTTATATTATATAAACAAATTTAATTTTATATATGAGGAAAAATTCCTGAAGGGATGCAACTTTAAAATTAAAGGTTTCCTGATCGGGATGAAATTTTCACAAAAATTATTACTATGGGTGAGTACTTCACCCACAAATTATTATTAAGTTTTCTGCAAAACTGTAGAGGGGGGAGGGGGTTCAAGTTTTTCGTCAAATGTGAACAGTGAATTTTTTAAAAAATCGTAACTTCTATGAAAATGGATAAAAAAAATTTAGATTTATATGTTTTCGAAAGGTTTTTTTGTTCTCTTTCGAAAGGTGAAATTTTTTTTTAAATTCAAAATTTACCTCTTTTATTGAAAATTAAAAAATTTTAAAAAACGAAATTCACCATTGGAAAGAGCATGAAAAAACCTTCAAAAAACATACCTGCCAAAATTTTTTTGATTGCGTTAATAGACAGAAAAAATTCAAATAGTAGGCGGTGTCAGGGAAGACCGATAAAATTGACCCCCCCTCTATCTCCCCCAAAATTTCAAAAATTTTTTTGGGGATATTTTACTATTAAGTAAGACAACAATTTCCTCAAGTTTCACTTTTTTCGAGAAATCAATTTTTAAATCAGGACATTACACGTAAAATGACTCATATCTTAAGCTTCATTTTGAGGGTAAAAAAAAGAAAAAAAAGTGCCTTTTAAAAGAAAAAATCAAAAATATTTTAAATTTTCAAAAAAAGAGGTAAATTTTGAATTAAAAAAAAAATTTAACCTTTCGAAAGAGCACAAAAAACCCATTTGAAAACTTATAGGTCAAAATTTTTTTCATCCATTTTTATAAAAGTTACGATTTTTTAAAGAATTCACTGTTCACATTTGACGAAAAACTCCCCCCTCTCCACTTTTGCATAAAACTTAATAATAATTTGTGGGTGAAGTAATCACCCATAGTACTAAAGTACTTTTACAGAAAGTATTATCATTGTTAAAAAGGGGTCGAGTGAGAATAAACAACTTTGTTTATGAATCGTTTGACCTTTTTTCAATAAAATGATTTCTTTTGAAAAAAATTCGTTTTGACCACTTTTGAACCAAAACTGTTGTGAATTACTTAATTCAGCAACTTTTAATGTAATTTCTGTTATAAATTATCTTTATATATTTAAAAATACCCCTTTAATATAATTCGAGAAGCTCAGCATAGAGGGCATAAGAGTGAGTGACGAGAGAGAGACAGAGATGATAGAGATTCACGAGACGTCATAAGACAAAAACATGTGTGGAATTTTAGATTTGAGTGATTCATACACATATTTGATTGTTTTTGAGAGTAAAGAAGCAGAACAGTAGTATAGCTATGGGGGTTCTGGGGCAGGTTCTGATCTCGGCTAACTTACCGCCAGTCGGTAAGGTAGATTCCTACTTTATCAGCAGCCGGTAAGTGAGAGCCGAATTCAAACCCAGTTGGTAAGGTAGGAATCTGTTTTACCGACCGAGTTAGTTTACTAACCACACAATAGATGGCCCCACTAGTAATCAACTCAATTGGACTATATGAATATTCAAATTTCGCGGGAGAATGTTGGTTGCTTTCCTGTTTAACCGACCGAGTTAGTTGTTCATGCAATTGAGAGATGACACCACTAGCGAATTCAAACCTGCTTGGCGGAATTTCGCTTGGTCAGAGAGCTGCCATTTTGTTTTACCGACCGAGTTACTTTACTCACCACCCAATAGATGGCGCCACGGTCGTTTTAGCACAATTATTGTTAAATAATTGATATTTCATAATTTTGCATTAATATTATTAATTAAATGAATATCTTATTTTTCTTAAATAAATATAACATATAATAAACATATACATTAAAATATATTATATAAAATATTAATATTATTAGGGTCAGCCGGGGTAAATCCGAACGCTAATTATTTCAGCTTAATTGAAATTTAAAAAAATAAGTTAGACATGAGAATTTTTACCTCAGATCCTCTTGAAGAGATTCTAAGTATTATCCCATTTTTCGTTTGTTAATTAGCAACAGCATAAACAAAGATAACGAGTATTGCAAAAAAGATTGAAAATCAAAGATGACACTCTTTCAATATTTTGTCTCGTATTTGAAGAAAAAGAAGCTAAAAATTGATCGATTAAACGAACTTACCTCAAGTGAAATTCAATCGAAATTATGCAAGTACGTCTCGTCCGAATAGATCATATGTAGTAACGCCAGTTGCTCGATCCAACTCACAGTCTTTTTAAATTCCCGCGCTTAAGTTTTTAGTTCCCTGCTCTAACCTCAGAGGGATCTTCCTACTTCCTGTTCATTACGCTTTTTATTTCTTAAAGCGCAAAATTTGAGGGTCTTTGGGAAAGGGAGGGAATGATCTATTCGGACGAGACGTACTTGCATAATTTCGATTGAACTTCACTTGAGGTAAGTTCGTTTAATCGATCAATTATGCTACGTCGTCTCGTCCTCTAGATCATATGTAGATGTTTAAAGTATTAATTTTGCGATTTTTTTTTTTTTTTTTATATATATGAAACTAAATGTTTATTTCTTATATGAACATAGTAATATTTTAATAATAATAATAATAATATTACATAATAATATTTCTTAAGAACTGATTACAGTTGAAGCAAAAGCATAACTAGTATCCCTTAAAGGGCGATTATAAAATTTTGCGAAACAATTGGAACTGGATGTCCAACCAGCAGCCTGTCTTATCTTTTCTATGCTTACTCCCTTTCTAGCCGCAGAGGAAGTAGAAGCATGTCTTGTGCTATAACCGCTATAAATGTTGGTGTCAATACCGCTCTTTTTGAGAATATCTTTAAGCCAACGGCTAATTGTTTGCTATGTGGCTTTATGGTATGGTTTTTTAAAGGTGAGAAATAAACTGTTTTCATCTTTGGCTCGGATATTCTCCGTCTTTTTTAAATATTCTTTTAGCGTATTTGCAACACAAAGATTTGGCAATTCTTTAAAAAATGGAAATTCTAAAATTGGCTGCTCTCGACCTACACCCGAAGTTTTTATTCTATCGGTGATTATTATTTTTACATAATCTTTTTGTATTTTAATATTTTCAATTTTAATTTTTGATAATGTTTGTAATCGTTGTCCTGTGCTTAGAGCTATTAAAATTGACAATTTTTTTGTTAACATTTCAAGATTCAAATCAACGTTAGACCCTAATTGAGAAATATAATTTAAAACTAATTTCGGATCCCAGATATCGTTATATTTTGAATTTTGAGGTTTTATAACCGAGACTCCCTTGCAAAACCTCTTTACAACATTATTGTTTCCTAAATCAACATTTGTAATTAGCGATATCGCTGATCGATAACTATTTAATGTCCCATATGTTTTTACACCTTCGGTCAATTTGGTCAAAAAACATAGAATTTCAGGAACTGCAGCTTCGAATAAATCAATATTTTTCTCCTTACAATTTTCCCACCAAAGTCGTATCGGTTTTTCGTATTGACGTAATGTCCCTTCCGATAATGAGGCGAGTATTATTGGTATCGATGACTCAGGAACACTACGTTTTAAGAAGGATTCTGAGATAATCTTGCGACAGCCAGGATAAGTTTCTTCGCCAAAGGATGTTGATTCCTGAAAGGACATAGTAATAAGTGATCGTTAGGACCTAAATATAATATTTTTCCTACTACTAGGGACATGAAAAGTGGGAACCAAGGCTGAGTTGTCCAGAAGGGTACAACTAAAATCCCAGTAGCTTTATCTGAAATAATTTTTCTTAAACATCTTAGAATTAGAGAGAAAGGAGGAAATGCGTAAAATTTGTATTCAGACCAGTTTAAAGTAAACGCATCCACGGCAACTGCTTCTGGATCCTGTTTCCACGATACAAATTTTGTACACTTCGTGTTAATCTGTGAAGCAAACAAATCAATATTAAATTTTCCAAAATTTCTTTCACTCTGCAAAAGCCCAAGGTGCCATTTCCCACTCTGTCTCCCTGGGCATGACTCTGGATTCCTTATCAGCAAGAAAATTTTCACTTGAACTAATATAAGATGCAAAAATCCACAATTGTCGTCTTTCGCACCACTGCCAGATCTCTTTACATAAAATTGTTAATTTTGGGTATTGAATGCTACCCATCTTATTAATGTAAGCTATGGCAGTTGTATTATCTATTCTCAGAAGTACTTCAGACGATTGTAGATTTTTGGCAAAACATTTAAGTCCGTAGAACGCAGCTAAAAGTTCTAGGTAGTTGATATGCATTTTTTGTTGCTCCGGAGTCCACCAGCCATGAACTTTCTTGCCATCGCAAACTGCTCCCCAACCTGTCAAAGAGGAATCAGTGAAAATTTCAAGTTTAAAATTAAAAAATTTTATACGGTGGAAAGTTGTCTTGATATTTTTTATCCACCATTCAATATCAGGTAAAACAACTGGATTCAAAAACATCTTACTCTCAAAATTTCCATTTGCGGCATTTAATGCTAAATATTTTTCTCTTTCAAGTAATTTCGTGTACAGGTTACCATATTCGACAGCTGGACAACTAGATATCAACATTCCTATATATTTTGCCAAGTCTCTAATTTTGCAGGATCTCGTTTCACTAAACTGTAAGGACAATTTTAAAATCGTTTCTCTTTTTTCTTGTGTAAGTTCTATACTCATATCTTTTGTATCCCAAATGAAACCTAAGAATTTTATTCTTGTACCTGGATTAAGGTTACATTTTTCAACATTTAATAAAAAACCTAAACTCTTTAATATTTTTATTGTAATTTTTACATTTTCTAAACAATGTTCTCTATTTTTCCCAATTAGACAAAAATCATCAAGATAAACAACTGACAAAAGAGATTTTGATCTTAAAGTTTCCACAACAGGTTTCATTATCTTAGTGAAAATAAATGGAGCTACACATAACCCAAAAGGAACACAGTTAAATTCAAAATGTTTACCATTAAATATGAATCTCAAATATTTTCTAAAAGATTGGTGTATTGGAACTAATAAAAAAGCATCCTTGAGATCAATTGTAGCTAAATATGCATTTTCAAATAATAAATTACTGAGTGTTCTTCGGTCTTCTAATTTAAAATGGGGGGGCACAATAAATTTATTTATACCTTTACAATTTAAAATAAATCGTTTTTCCCCATTAGGTTTTTCAATAAGAAAATATGTTGAAATAAACTCATCGTCAATCGGTTCACACTCCGATACAGCACCTTTTTTAATTAGTTTTAACATTGCTTCCCAATAATTATTATTCTCTTCTTTGGACCTTAAAGGTTCTTTTGGAGAAATATTTTGTTTAGGTGCGAGATAAAAAGGGATCTTATATCCTTCTATACATTGGAGTATAAACCTATCTGATGTTAATTTTTTCCAATTTTCAATAAAATATTTTAAACGACCAGCTGGTCTACTTACCGCTTCTATCGACGATACTTCGGGTTGTTCCGAGATTGTTGGTGATGCTGAGAATTGCGCCCTCCCTGTTGGTATGTCGTTTGATTCCGGGAAACTCGCTTGGGAGGGCCCCTCCAGTTTAAATTATTTTGTTTTCGAGGAAAATCATATTGGTTCGTTTTTTGTTTGTATTTTTCATACGGTTGTCTACTGCTAGAACCTTGTTTTGCTTTTATTAATTCTTTGCTCGTTTTTTCTAGAGTTTTTGCTTTTTTGTATTTTTCAGCGAAATCTTCACCAAATAATTGTTTGTCCACAACACAATCAGTGGCAACACTTTTTACTAAAGGATCAAGAGATTCAATACTTGAAGTCAATGTTATGCGTCTGGAAATCGAAAGGGAGTGATGTAGACCAGATAACAATCTTCCAGAATCTCCTAAACGGCTTATTATTTGGTCAATGTTAGGCTCTTTTTGAGTCAACAATTCGTCAATGCAAAGGGCAATTGCATTCATATCAGCGCTTAACATTGTATGTGAAGCGATGTAAAAGCTGTCTTTCTTGAGCGCAATTCCCTTTGCCAATTCTTTGATTTCCGGATTTAGATCTGGCGCTTTCAACATTGGAAAATTTTTCGCTGTTGGGTATTTCTCAATAAGCACTTTCTTTTCATCCTTCTGTAAACCTAATTTCAAATAATTTGTCCATTTCTCTACAATAGAGTCATGAATTTCAGGACCAAATTTTTCTGTATCATCAGAGCCGAGAAGTTGAATTGTTTGTTTTGAAGGTTCTTTTTTATTTTCTTTGTTGTCATCAGTTTTTGTTTCATTATTTTCATCTTTATTTTTCGGAGAATCAGGAACAGTATCCGTCGAACACGAACGTGTAAGCGTTGACTGACAGCTTGATGATCGAAAATTTGAATCAGTTTGTTCTTCATAGTCTGAATAATACGATTGAGGATCACTGCAAGAGTCACGTGATTTGTCGTATTCTTGACGTGACGTGCCTCGAGAATTTTCCGGGTAACGCTCTCCGTCAGATTTTTTATTATCTCTTCTAAGAGGAGATCTTGACCGATATGACGATTTTTTGTGTGACGTCCTTCTATCACTCTTGTGCGAGGAACGTTCCCCACTATGTCGATATCGACTATTTTTTGACGATTCTCTATCGCGGCGTGACGCACCTCGATCTGAGTGTCGCTCTCCGCCATTTTTTCTCCTCGATTCTCGGTTGCGATGTTTTCGGCGATGTTTATGACGCTCCACTGATGCACCTTCCATGCCTTCCACCTTTTCTCTTAAGCTCCTCAACTCCTCCAACACTGCCTCCATTTTACACTAATAAATAACTTTTCCACTCGTTAAAAAAGAATAACTTTGATAAAAAAAATGACGCGCACACGCGAGCTGGATCGCACAGAAAAGCTTAATGAACAGGAAGTAGGAAGATCCCTCTGAGGTTAGAGCAGGGAACTAAAAACTTAAGCGCGGGAATTTAAAAAGACTGTGAGTTGGATCGAGCAACTGGCGTTACTACATATGATCTAGAGGACGAGACGACGTAGCATAATTCATTTTATTATTTATAATTGTTTGTTATGAATACTAGAACAGAAACTATTTTTCATTTTTGCCTTCTGTAAAATTTTATTAATAATATTAGACCGTTCGTATTTACCCCGGAAAATTGGAAAACCGGGGTAAATCCGAACAGTATTTTCAATAATTTTTTCTTATATCAAAAATTCTTTTTATTTGATTACACTATTATTTTAACATTATAAAAGTACATAGAAAAAAGTTTTTCTTTCTATATATGTATCCTCGTTAGTAATTAATAAGCAGAAACTATTCTAGGGTTTTTGTGGTCGCTGATTACCAATTTCAAGTCAGTTTTTCAAAATTCAAAATGGCGGACTTGAATTAAAAAATTCATTGGATTCGCTCGAAAATTGTTACTCGGGGCGTTTCAGGGTCGCTGATTACGAATTTTTGATCATTTTTAAAAATAAGTTTTAGGAAATTCCGCCATTTTGAATTAAAAAAATTTGACTTTTATTTTTGTATTTACATTCAATCACTCCAAAATACTTTCTGTAGCAAGTTTTGCAAAAATCCGTTATGATTTGATAAAGTTATTGAAGGTTTTAATTGTGTAATGCATTTTAATTTTTAACCTGTTTGATTTTTGTATTTATATATGATGCATTATTACATAATAGGTTTATTATCGTATTTTTTTGAGTTTTTATATAAGTTTAACAATTGCAATACTTTAAATTTATTTTCCCTATGATTTTTCTGAAATACAGTGGCGTTCGTATTTACCCCGGTATTTTAGAAAAGTTCCAAAGTATCGAGGTAAATACGAACGCTAAGTTTCCTGCGATTGTAATTTATCAAAAAATTTTGCTACCCCATAAAATTGTTATATGGAAGTAAAGTAACAACTTCATGCACCAGAATACCGGAAGTATTGTCTTTTAAAAGAAAAAACTTATGTTATTGTTGAAACTTACTAAAAGCGTTCGGATTAAGCTTACGAGCTCAGCGGCACTAGCTCATTCGCAGCAGCAGATCAGTCCCGAGTGGTCGACGACGATGGAGATCTGTGACTGCTACCACTGCCATGTGATGAGGGTGTCGGTGCACAACGTAAGTATTCCTGGTTAATAAATTTTATATCAGTGATGCTTATTAAGATTTCCAGTTGCAGAATCCTGACGATGAGGTGACGTTTCCGACGACGCCACCCAGGTATCCTTGGCATAGGCCAGAAACGTCACCATCCTGGGTGGAGCTGGAGCCTCCACCACCATCTCCAGAGGCTCCAAGAAGATAGGTGGCTATCGTGAGGCCAAGGGTCCGGGCACAGGAGGCCAGGTTGCCGACACCTCCAGCGGTAGAGGTCAGGGCACCGACACCACCACCCGGCCCAGAGAGAAGGCAGCGACGAAGACGTCATCGCCGCCAAGCCGCCATTAATATTAATATTTTTATTAATTTTTTAATAAACGTGTTTATTTTGTATATCGGTATATGTTTATTTTACGCATGCGCAAACGGGTGGGGGTAAATGTAAGAGTGGGGATGTGTAAAAAGTAGGAGTGGGGTAAAAGTTCAAGTGCGCATGTGAGAGCAAAATTTCGGGTATATATTCGGGATCGCCAGAGAATTTAGTCATTCTCTCTTCTGTTCGCAGGTGTTCCAGCAGCAGTCTCCCTTGCCATTTACTAACTGTCTTTTTGATATTTTTTGATATTTATTGTATTTTTTTGATATTTATTGTGTTTTTTGATTTTTATTGTATTTTTTTGATATTTAGTGTATTTATCTTTCTTATTTCTAGGTTAAGGGATTTCGAAGGGATTGAATTCCGAGTAGAGCTAAAAAATGTTCCAAAATTTGAAATGCAGAATGACATTTCGATTATTGTGTACGGTTTATCGAAAAATAATGGTAACTTCTCTGTACATCCACTCCACCTCACAGGTGAAAAAAGAGATAAACATGTAAATCTCATCGCTGATGTGTATGTAGGTGAAGGTGTTAATAGTGATGTATTATGCGGAAATGATGATGATTTTATGAATTTCCATTATGTATGGATAAAAAATTTACCTGCGCTAGTATTCAAACAATTGTCAAATCATAAAGGTAAAAAGCATATCTGTGATAGATGTCTACACTATTTCTATTCTGTAGAAAAACTTAATGCACACATTGAAGATTGTAAGAAAGTGAATGAGTGTAAAATAACGCTACCGAAGCCGAAAGACAGTATTATCAAGTTCAAAAATTATAAAAATAGAGAAAAAGTACTGTATGTGATTTACGCCGACTGTGAAAGTTTACTTCTTCCAGCCGATGAAGATGTAAACAATTTGAGTAAGACTGAAGTATTCCAGCGCCATAAGTTGCTAAGTATAGGTTATTATTTAAATTGTAGCTACGACGAATCTCAATCTGTGTATGTTCCATGTCCGCAGCATGAAGCTGACCCAGCTAAATGGTTTGCTGTGGAGTTAAAGCAGATTGCTGAAAAAATTGATAAAGTTTTCAAGAATCCGATACCAATGACTGCATTAACTCCTCAAGAAATCAGCGCTTTTAAGCGAGCGACAATATGCCATATTTGTCATCAGAAAATAGCGGCAAGCGATAAAAAAGTCCGAGATAATTGTCATCTTACTGGCAAGTATAGGGGTGCTGCGCATGAGTCGTGCAATTGAAATTTTCAAGATTGTCAAACGATCCCTGTAGTGTTCCACAATTTAAGTGGCTATGACGCCCATTTTATAATTCACGCGATTTCAACGAGCTTTGAAGGTAAAATTGATCTCCTCCCCATTAACAAAGAGAAGTATATCGCCTTCACAAAACATTTCAAGGGGAGTGAAGTCAAGTTTCGATTCATTGACTCTTTCAGATTCATGGCATCATCCCTAGAAAAACTCGCATCCTACTTGGACGAGTAAAAAATTGTAAACGCCGTTTTTGCCAGTACGGTGACTGATCCGGATAAAATTAAGTTATTAACGCGAAAGGGTGTTTTCCCCTATGAGTACTTTGACTCAAAAAGTAAGCTTGATGAGACAGAATTGCCCCCGAAAGAGAAATTTTACAGTACTCTTTAAGATGCCGGTATTTCTGATGAAGATTATGAGCATGCGCAGAAAGTTTGGAATTTCAAGAATTTCAAGTCGATAATTGTACTTTTGACCCACTGTGCACCGTCGATTTTCAAGTGAATTTTCTTGCGAAATATGTTTTATCGAATACACTAATCATATTTTCTGCTTATGTTGTAAAATGTAATATTGTAATACTTAAATTGTTGGAGTTTACAAAGAAAGAGATTCTTCAAAGCTTGAAGAATTAGCTATAATAATCTTGGTAGGTGAGTATGTTGTTCAGAAAATGAATCTTAATCTTTCTAATTAAGATTCTGAATGGATCAAGCAATTAAAAACAGCTATTTCAACACTTTGTGTTACACTTACATTATTTTAGAAATTACCATTGCTGGATGCACCATATTGGATCCGCCATTTTGAATTTTAAAAATCTGACATCATATTCGTAATCAGTGACCCCAAAAATCCCCCAATAAGTATTTTTAGATGAATTAAATTAGTTTTTAAATTTCTGATGCGCTATATTGGATCCACCATTTTGAATTTTTAAAAACTGACATGGGATTCGTACTTATTGAACCCGAAAACCCCCGAGTAACGATTTTTGATCCAATTTGATCAATTTTTGAGTTTTATTCGCTTTTGCTATCTTCTGGCCCACTGTACAGCGACCCTGAAAACGTCTCAGAAACAAGTTTCAAACATATCAGATTAATTTTTATGTCCGCCATATTGGATCCGCTATTTTTAATTTTTAAAATCTGATGCTAGATTCGTATTCAGCGATACCAAAAATCCCCGAGTAATATGTTTCAAGTGAATTCATGCAGTTTTAAAAAATCATCTACCATATTGGATTTGCCATCTTGGATTTTTTAATTTTTGCCACGTTGCCTTTAAAGATAGACTTGAATAGCTGAATTTAAAAACCTTGTAGAACCCTGTACATCAAAATGAATTTTTTTGGCATAGAAAATAATAAAATTAATTTATGGAATTCTGTTCACATTTTCAGCCATATTAAATTCGATATTTTGACATTTTTTATGCCACTTTGCACACTTCTTTGAAATATTGTGGGAATATTCCATTGGAATATTTTAGGAATATTCAAATCAAAAATTATAAAAATATTATAATATGAATAATACATCAATATTCTTGAAAAAATTAAAAATTACATCATATTTTTCGAACTTACAAGAATATTCCAACAGGATATTCCTACAATATTCTAAAGGGGCATTCCAAAGGTCGGACATTTTTATATTCTTAGAACATCAATGGAATATTCTAAAGAATTATTTCAAATAAAGCAATGGAATATTATGGAAATATTCCATTCTAATATTGTCGGAATATTTCATTTGAATATTGTGGGAATATTCGAATGAAAAATTATAAAAATAATATAATATGAATAAAACATCAGCATTCTTGAGAAAATGTATGTTTATTTATTTATTGCGTAAATGTTATAAAATAATGATATTAATAGACCTTTTCATGCTGATCGTTCTGTCCTTATCTAGCGCATACAATGACGCATGAGTTGGAAGATGACAAAATGATCAGCATGAAAAGGTCTATTTTTATAATTATTAATGATTATTATTTTTTTCAGAATATAAAAGTATAATCAACTTTTCTAAAAAGTGATTATTTAAAAAAAATGATATTATAAAGGTTTTCAAG